AAGAAGCTGCAGCAGAGGCCTGTTACTGGTGGTGAGGTCAGACAGCTGTAGCCTGGTAAGACCTCAATCAAAGCAGTAAACTAAGACTGCGATGGTGACTGAAACTAGTGCCATCACTGGTGGCTTAATTTCCTAAAGCTACTTGATTAATGCTGAGGAACAGAGCTGAATGAGCAGATCAACTCTCCTACAACAGTATTGGGTGTTTCTTTTCACCACAGCGTTACACACTTTGTTCGTCAAGTTCACTTGGCCCCTTTTTCATCTCACCACACCTATTCCTGGAGGGTAACTAACTCACACATGGCAGGCAGGAGGCGTACATGGCACGGCACTTCACACACACACACACCCCCCTCCATTTCTGCTCTGCCCAAACTTGAGCTGGAGGCGGTTAAATACCCTACTTTGTCTTGAACCTACATAATTTGAAATGTCTATTTCAATGTCGTAAACTGTCTCGTTAAAGAAAAGGACAAAGACACTTCACAGCAATCCTGTGGTGCAAGGATTTCCCAAAAGGTACCTTTAATGTGTTTGCATCAGCAGCAAGCAGTCAGTGCTCATTTTGGCACCAGGAGTTAGGTGTGCAGCACTACACGTTAGACACCAAGTTTTATCCATATGAACAGAGAAAGTGAACTAAAACATAGTACTATGAGCACATATGAAATCAAGTTATTGGTGTTCTATCACACTTTCAGCTTGTAATATTAGAAAAATAAACTTAGGACAGTCACTAATCAGATGAATACGTTTTCATTGTCAACTGGAAAGAGTTTAAAAACCATGAGAAAAACCCCACACTTAAGTTTTTGTTTTACAAACGTTAGCTCACCCATAGTAACAAAACTGCTGTACAGAAAGCACCCTCTGCATTTTTGTCAAAATATTTGGAGCCAAAATAATCTTTCCATCCTAGAAAGTCACAGCTATGTTACGTTCAGAAACTCCACTCAGCTCTACCAAACGTGTTGCATACAAAGTTACAATGTTGTAGCAGAGGCAAAAGCTCAGAAGCTCACGTGCAGTGGTAAGTCAGTCAGTTCTCCCACTCGGTCTCTATGAACTCCAAGGTTGTCTCTTTGCTTCAATAACCATTTATCTGCCATTTTCATGTCAACAGATAAAATACTCTGCTGAGTATATAAAAACTGTTATAAAAAGGCAATCATAAAAGATAAGGTATTGGCAGGCATGTCAGCTTTTTTAATAAAAAAAATAGCCATTATATCTATTTAAATAAGGCTTCTTGTTACAGATTGTTCCAGTTACTGAAGGAAAACAAGGCCTGATGAAAAAAAAAAACTATCCCCCGTAAACCTTTACACTTCCTGCCCCAAGAACACATCCTACAGGAAAAGTCATTTTATGTGCAAAGTGACAAAACAAACACTGGGGGAAGCTCCTGAAATGATATGCCCAGTCTAGTTTCTCTTGCATTATCTTCAAAATCTTAAAAAAAAACCCCAAACCTAAAACAAGTTCTAAAATACACAAAAAAGCCTTCATCTTGATATTCTTTCCAAAACAAATATGTACAGCACATTAATATGCAATATGCAAAAGCTCTGTGTTGCTGTTGGCAACATCTATGCCCTCCCCAACCCTATTCACATGTGTACCTCTACTAAAACACAATTACATCACTAAGCCTGTTAGTTTGAAAAGGGAATTTAATTCACTTAAAACTTGTAAATTTTTGTGTAGGGGCTCCATTCGTTTGACTCTGGATTGTAGACTTCAACCGTGTTCAAGAATTCATTGCCATCAAATCCCCCAACCGCGTAGATAGTGTTTGCTACTGTCGTAATGCCAGCATTGCTCCTCGGAGTAGTCATGCTTCCCATCATCTTCCACTCGTTCTTAGCAGGGTCGTACATCTCCACACAGCTCACCGCGTGAGAGCCATCAAAGCCGCCACCAACAAAGAGTTTTCCTATCAATCAAAAGGAAGCAAAGCAAATGTTTCACTGCTAAGCACCAGCTACGCTGCCAAACACAGCCTCCTTTCCAGGGAGACCAACTTGGCCAAAGTGAAGGAACTTAAGGTTTTCTGTCAGAAATCTTTGCCTTATTCAAGGTTTGAAGTTACAGTATTGACCTGCTATGGGTCTCTTGATCATTAGAGCTGACTGGAAATTATTTCAGACTAAGCACAAAGTCCAAATTCAAACAAATGCAGTTCTGGAAGCTGCATGGTGATGTTTTGAAAAGAGGTGGGGACAAATGCCCCAGAACAACAAGAAGTTTTTTGGTTTTACTGGTTACGGTTTTTAATTAAAATCGGAGGCATAGCCAGGTTCTTACCGTATTGTTTTCCTCCCTGAGAAGGAACCCAGCTTTGTATTCTACTTGCTTAACATGAAAAATTCATCAAGCACAAGAGGTTGCTTAAGCCTGCGAAAGCCTACCATCGTGAACAGCCACTCCAGCTCCTCGTCGAGCCACGTTCATGGGCGCAATCAGGGTCCAAGTGTTGTTCTCTGGATTGTAACGCTCCACGCTGTTCAGGCAGTTCCATGATTCTGCTCCTCCAATTATGTATAAATACCCAGCCAGCTCACACACTGCAGACTGATGTCTCCCTACAATCAAACACTAGGAGTTACAGCCCAGTGCAGAAGTCACACACTAACAATATGCCATAGTGGCTGAAATTTAAACAGGTTTTTTGTTTGGTTTTAAACCTGCAGTTTTGCAATCGCCCTTTTCCCCCTCCCTCCCAAACTACACAGCAAACTTACGGATATTAAGGGGAGCACAACTTGTCCAAGATTTTGTTACGGGATCAAACACATCACAGTTCTTAAGTCCCTTTTGGCCATAAGGATCTGAACCACCAACAATGTACAGTTTTCCATTCAGGGCACATACTCCTATTCATATAGGAAAGAACAGTAAGTAAGCTAATAAATGAATAAATTAAAAAAAAAAAAACCAACAGTCAATCAACTGCAGACTGTTACCTGCATTGCAGCGATTGGTTCTCAGTTCCGGAACAGGAGTCCAGTCATCTATTTCTGGCTCATACATTTCTCCACAGCTCAAGTCATCCGAGTGACCATTTGACCCACCCACAACATACAGCTGCCCCTAAATGGAAAAAATAAATACCTTCTTCACATCTAAGTACACAACAATTCGAATCCTGAGCACTTTTGTAATATTGTAACTACAGTTAAGCAACTTCTATTACCATTTTGTAAAGTTTGCAGTGTTTGTCCCACCTACATTTACATAATGTCACTTTCATCTACTCTGCACCCACCACACACCATTAAAACTGCCATCTGGAACCGAGCTCTTGGTGTTCTCATCGGTGCAATGAAAGTCCAAGTGTCCTTTTGCGGGTCGTAGCATTCCACTGTGCGCAAACACTCCTCTCTGTTATATCCACCTAAAAGCAAGAGGTCAGATGATGCCACATTTCCAAAGACCAACGGCTTTGATGTTGACGAACACTAACTCTAATAGAGTGTACAGAGTTAAGAAGCCACTGTCATGTGTCCCCCCCCTCAATCAAGCAAGTTTAAAGAATCATTACTGCTTCCTTTACCTGCAGCAATTAGCTTGCCGTTAAGCTCAGCTGTGCCCAGTCCAGACCGAGCATACTGCATTGGAGACATGGGCTTCTCGATGATATCATTTGGTTGAAGCTCAAAACTCAGACTCTTCACCAGTCGTGGCGTGCTCGTGGGAGAGCTCTGAGGGCTGTTACGGCCATGCAGGAATATCACACACAGCACGCCATCCAGAACAGCAAGACACAGGTAGGTGTTACCTGTTGTCAGGAGAAAAGGAGAGACCACCGATGTAATATTTTAGATGAATGCCAACTAGGGTCTTCTGATTAGGCTTCTCCACTTACAAGTGTGAAAACTATTTTTTCTGGTTACTGGCTCCAAGTGTTAGCCTAGTTACTGAAAAATACGACTTTTAGATTATTAATATAGTGCTCAAAGGACGTAAGACAGCAATCTAAAGATGTGCTAGGAAACAGTCTCCTCGCACGCACACAGCAAAGAGCTCTGTTTAATTAATCAGAGACTGCCTCCTTAGGACTTTCTGGGTAAATTATACACACCATGGGATTTGGGATGGCCCTGTCAATAAGGAACCAAGATGTAAGTGATTTGGCCCCAGTTACATTAGAAACATCCCACAAATTACTGGGCAAATTACTTGACTTGCATCATCAGTAAGAAAAAGCACTTCTGCATTTCTTACAGATGTTGAAGGAAATCCCCAGGGAGTGAGAGGTGGTAGGTACATCAGACCAGACGCATCTTTTAGACAAACGCTGCCCAGTTACTCACTTGAAGTTCTCTCTGAAGCAATGATTTTCCACTCGTGTTTAGGACTCTGAACGGTAGCATTTGGAGAAAGACTTCCAGAGGAGCTGCTAATAATCTGCTTGTGATCATTCTCACGTGGTGGCTTCCTCTGCAAAATCAAAAGGCAGCTACAGAAACCTAGCCAGAGACTACACCTCCTTCTACCTTTGCTTCTCTGAGCTAATACATAACTATTCAAGAGAACACTTCATCTACCACCTCCGCCGAGCATCATTTATAGCACACCTAAGTTTTCAACAGAACATCTTGCCTACTCAGCAACAGTAGCCAAAAACCAACCTACATCTTATCTTGGTACTCGTTTCATCCTGTGACCGCACCTTTATACTGCTGGTGTCTAACTAGAAATCAGTTCAAATTCCTAGAAGAGAGTATGCATTACTAG